AGAAATCGATGTATATTATGGAATCTTTCACGGTGAATTCTACTCGGAACTATTACATATTCATTATTCCATGAGCGAATTATTGAGGTTCATGACACGGGCACCTTGCTGGAGTCGGACACAGTTAGGTAAGTTCGTCTTCAGTTAAATATCTTGTTGGAGTTGTCCTATTGTAGAGAGTTCACGGAATCGAGGCTTGCGAAATCAAGAAGCCATTTTCGGATACAGGAAGGGTGTTACAGACCATTCTGTTTACCTATTCGCGGTCTCTCTAAATTCTACGATGTGCGTGGTATTTAGGAGATGTCGATGGACGGTCAGAAATTGGAAGTGTCGTTCTTTTAAAGTATTCCATGTTTCTTGACGGTACGAACTTATTATAGGATCTAGAAGGTGAGGTCATTGTAATGTCGTCGGTTTGTTTCAAAAATAGCGGATAAAACATTGGCCAAGCAGGATTTGAAAATCAAGTAACTTCTTGGAAATCATGGACCATCTCTTCAGGTTTTTCGGACAAGAACATTCTTTGCTGGTTCCAAAGTGGCGTATGGGCCATTGGTAATGGTATCGTTAAAAAAATTAGTGGAATGAATTGATCTAGTATAAAATTAGCCAAGATTTCCCGATTCCACTGATTCAATTATAAATGATCTACAAAGCAGTAATAAATTCGAGCATGATATGATTTTTAGATTCTAATTGCAATTGTATAATGTATATATTCGCGGAAAGCAACCTGTCTTAATTATTTTAGTAGCCTATACAAAATCTCAGTAATTGGTTGGTTTTCAGTCGGCTAATTCATAATTGGAAATCGATCAAATCGATATCTGGTGATGAACGGGTTTATCGAAATATCATCGCGGGAAACCTTGTCGAGAAGTCATGATGGAGCGATCGTGTATCTATCGAAATACTCGGGTAGATAAGATTGTCGAATTCGTATGAATGAAGTCGTGACATGTACTCCATTACAGTGTTGTCATAAAATGGGTTGTCTACATTTTCTTCGATCAGGTATGCTAGGAGGATCGTACGAGTTCTTATAATATGGGGATCCGTATTGAGGAACTTCGCTGTGATCGAAGAATTACACAGAATGATCGAGTAGGAAGAACATCAGCATCATCGATACTAATATTCTCGCGACAACGTGCTCTCGCGACGAGTCGTTTTCGTAGATGTTGAAGTTATGAGACGGTTCTCTTGGTGATGTACTTGACATATATCGCGCGAAACCTTTGTCGGAACGTTCATGTGGACGTTCCAGTGATACGTGACAAACCCAAGATTCTTGATCGTTACGGCAACTGTAGATGTAGCAACAGTTTCCGACTTCGTAGTATTTAGAGAACGAGGAAAACCTTTTACCGGCGGTGGTCCTTGACACTTCAAATTACAAGTGTGTATCTATCAGCAACGACGGAGGCGTAGAGTTCCGGTTCGTATAAAGGGGTCGGAATCTTTGAGCGGATAACGTCGTTGAAATTCATTTCTTCGATTGATTTTGGAAGTCCAATAGCAGTTGTGATGTAAGTGTGTGTGTTCCTTTGTTTTGGAATCGAAGGTGATAATTCCAAATCCTGTTGGTTCGGGTTTTAATAATGGTTGTGTCCCCGTTATTGATATTGGCTAGTATAACCTTCGGTCATGTTTAACCTTACGAACAAGGGTTGGCAAGCGATTGGTGAAAGTAAATGTCACCGGTTCGTATGATAATCGAGATCGTTTCTTTGATTATGTTCCGTGATGAGTAATTACTCGGTTGAAGTAATGTTCGTCCCGTCGGTAAGGGGACATTGTGATTTTGGGGTAGTTCGGCCTGCCGTAATAATCTCTGAATGTCCTAATGGTGCCGCAAAATAAATAGGACCATGATGCCCAATGATAGTTCATCAAGCGTAAAATGATGTATTTTCCGTAGGTTTCGTCTCGATTGCCGTCATTTCAAAACAATAGTGGAAGTCCTCATGTTTTTAAGTCTCGTCAAGAACAGTCGTTAGATGACTCGCATTTGTTAATAAAATCACGTAACTTTAATTATTAATTTTATTTTGATTTTATTAAATTTTTTAACTGAAATTAAAGTAATAGATATATATATTATAAAAGTATAAGTAAAATCTGTTAACTAAATTAATAAAAGCTAATTTAATTTTATATTAAATCAGAATTGATTTTTGTTGTTTAGTTTTTTACATGAGCTACAATTTTCTTTAACACCACCAATGTGTCATGATAATTCAAAATAAACTTTCGCTATGGTTCGGATGTTTCTCGGAAGTAAATCTCGAGTTCATAGCCCTTTTAGATATTTTACGTCCACCGCCACTCATCGCGCCAGATTATTCGATTAATTCCCCTCCTAATGTCATCACGCGCCACAAGGAGCTAAAGCTTCCTCTTCGTCAAATTGATTTTCTCCAGCTTTATATAATACTGATTGTTTACACATTTTCGCGTCTACAAACAAATATTTATACCCTCACAAAATAAAATAAACTCACTACTAGAACTCTAATTCAAAATCCACACTAGATCATATTAATTCCAACACTAAATCCACCCTTCGCCGGTTGATCTCGTCAATGTTTCCGCGAGAAATATAATGACAACTGCCGGGAATTCCTTTCTGATAAACAAAATGATTATCCAAAAAATAAATTGGCCTAATATTCATAGACATCAAATCAAATACTATTAATTATTAAATGTGAAGAAAAAATTATTTAATTAGTAAATTTATTAAACTATCATAATTTCTTAAGTTTCTCAACGTTATTTACTTTGACTCCCAATTCCTGTATGGTTGGTATCCGTATATTCATCAACAATAGACGTTAGGTTAGATACTATAATTATTATTGTGAAAAAAAAATATATATATATTCATAAGTTAAACAACAATCATAATGCCTTAAAGTTTCTCAACGCTATTTACTTTGACGATATAGTGGAGGACTATCTTCGAACACGCCCAATTCTTGTATGGTTAATAGCATATTATTGTGATCAGTTAAATTATGTTTGTAATATTAATTAGCTGGTTTATGTGTTGAGACGGCAGTTCTCCGCAAGAGGCGTTTATCAAATTATTTTAGAAAAAAAACGAGTCCAATTTTAAAATGCATATCGTTCTAATTTTAGATCGCCGATCTTTTTTTAGGAATTAAGATTTTTGACGCGTCTTTTATGTCTTTCATGATACGCAGAACAAAATGTATTTACAAGATATTTACGTTGAGGCTTTGATAAAAGGGAAATCTTTACCAGAATACAATCTTCCGGTTGAGGATTCTAATGTAAGTTTATAATAAAGTGTTTAGAATATTTCTTTTTAACGAGAAGATTTATTTAATTTTCTCTACAAAAAGAAAAATTGTCATTAATTCACATTAATTGCTTTATAAATAACATGCGTTTCTTATGTTATGGATCCATCTAATTAAAGGTACTGAAAAAATTCTTATACTTGGTTTAATGAAGTTTGTTATTACTTAGATTAGTAATATCAAATTATTTATATTTAGATGGCTTTCATTATCTTATCTAGTTTGTCAGAAAAAGGACACAATTGTTGTTTTGTTGAAACAAATAATGACCTTCAAGCACCTGCTTTATCAGACCTATCCGAGGCTAGGGAACTCGTTAACGTCAGCATTAATTTTCTCCTTTTTGATGGCGACTTGCTACATTTTTACGACTTTTAACTAGATGATGCAACGAATAAGCAAAACCAAAATTTATATAGGAAACTCGGATCTATTACTGTTTTTTTTTCAAGGAGATTATTGTTGACAAAAGTGGCTTTACAGAATTCGAAGTCAAACAAGTAAAGATTACAAAAGATTAGGTAGATTGGGTACATCATCGGATTTGATGTCATGGATGCAAAAGTTCAACCATCTACTATCGTTCTACAGATTAGCTGGCAAAATAGGAATCCTTAATTCGAATTCGAATACCGAAAATAAAATTTGCAAATGAATATCAAGAAGTAATAGAAGTCGTTAATGATAGAAATTCCAGAGGTATCATAAAATCAATAAAGTTTACGGTCATTTATAGAAATCATGCCAAATAAAGCTATTAGAGAGTCCAATCTAGATGATATCATCCAACGAATATGAACCTTATTGAAATAATATACATATATAAAACCTCTGTGTAGAAGAGTATTTTGTTGATCGTTCTTTCACCTTCGAACACTTATATTTGATGTAATTAATGATCAGTCTACAATAGGTAAGATTACATTTATTATTAATTTTAAAGAAATCATCAAAGAGAAAACTTATTGTATTTTTAATATGAACTTTTGGTAAGAACGTCATCAAAAAAGAATATTGTATAATGCGATTTGTTTTTAATGAGCCCCTTGTGAAAAGAAAGTTATCAATCATGAAAGATCTGATTTATCGTGAATTTATTTAACGATTTAATTCACGGTGTTCAATCTTTTCAATAATCAAATCGGTTCATTGACCATTTAACATAAAATTTATAAATTTATTCATTATTGATTCTACATAGATTACTGATGGATATCTGGTTCGTAGCTTAGAGCACGATCACTCAATATATAATTTTGCGCTTATTTCTGTCCAAGTACAAGTTCTTTTTGTGGATCTTTCTTTTGTCAAAAATTTTTTTAACTAAAAAATTTACTTAATTGGAATTACAAATATGTATTTTAAAAGTAAACGAGACAAATAAAATTTTGTTATATTATTATATACCATTCAGCTGATGACTGAACTCAATCCTTGGTTAAAAATCAAGAATAAAAATGTTGTTTTAAGAATAATAGTGATATAATTATTAGTCACTGAATCAAAAGTCGCTGATGGTAATTGTCAAGATTATGAATCCATACAAAGCAGAAGTCCTTTACATATTCTTGTTCTTTACGATTAAAAAATTATTTAAAGAAAAGCGAATCATGAGAGACAGCAGGCGTGGCAGAATTATTGTTTTTATTTGCAAAAAAAAAAAATAACTCATATAGATGACTTGTAATCAAATACATAACTTTCTTCCAACCAATTAATCATGTTGAGATTGTTGAAATTTAACAACAACTGTCTCAATTCCTTGCCAATAATAGCGGGCTTTGAAATTCTATTATAGCAGCTTGGTCTTTGCGTATTCCTCAGATTTACTAAATATCCAACAGATTTAAGATATTTCTCAAGAGTATCTTCAAAAGCAGGAACAGGAATCTTTAAAGCGATATTTATAACGAAACATTGGTCTGTATTATTATTATCAGTGGGTGAGTAGATGTTTATAATAAATCGATATTAGGTAATATATGTCAATGCCCTGATGGTAAATTTAAATCTAATGGCTACGACGCTACATGTTAGCGTAAAAAACATCATAAAAAATTAGAACATTTGGCTCGATAATTGTCATCAGATATTATTATAATAACGTACTTTTCCTACCATAAATTCATACTGCTTGAAGTGCGGGTCCTGATTCTTTGCTCCATGTTTAATCCTGTACATAACGTGAAAGAAATTCAATAAAGTCTGAATTAAAAGATTCGTAAAAATCTCAATGCTCGATTTGTCACTTACCTATTTCCACAAACACGCACTGACCAATGCTTCTAAAGTTACGAAATCAACAAATCATCATTAACTTATGTATATTAGATGAACTTCCCTGAAAATCCTTATTCCGTCATTACACTTATAACAGATGGTGTTAATATATAATACGCCCAATGTTCTGTCATTTAAAGACGAAGCTTAGTCAAAAATGCCTTGTAAATTACAGTAAAGGAATAGCCCGGTGTATATGTGATCGTACCCCTTTATCATGGATATTTATTTGGGAGACTATTGCTATCAACGAATATTCTCCAACGAACGAGACAACTTCTGTTTGATTTAATATTGGAAACTGTATGCAAAGATTAACATTTGTAATTCTCACATCAGTTGATCTTATGATTTTGAACATAGACATCACTTTATTCGTAATTCTTGAATTCAATAATGCCTTTGCTTATGACAGTTTCTGATGTTTGAAATCCACCTAAACCCTCGTCACTATATACTGCTGACTGAGACAATTAGTCCATCAGGATAGATCGAGTCATACTTAAATTCCCAGAGTATCGGTTATTTCAAAATTAGTCATAATACAGATAAATTCCTATGTATAAATGATGACAATGTATTGCTCTGAATTAATCATTGAAAAAATGAGTATTTTGACTCTTCTGTTCTGTCTATATATATGAAAGAAAATCTGTATACTTTTTATGCTTCTTTCGATCTTAATTTGCTTCATCCGTTATGTCTTTATTTTTCAACGTTCGTTTTTTCAATTTCCATGATTTCTTTTGATACCTTTGAAGCTTGATAAAATTTTTTTGTTGGTGATCAATTTCATGTTCTCTTTTGTTTTTTCCATATCAACATTAACATTGTTATTACTGACTTCCATTACTTCTTGAAAATCACAATCCCTTGATCAAGAACTTAAAGTTGGTAAAGAAATCCTAATTAAAAAAGGTATTATATAAATATATATGTTGTAATTCTGACTTAATTTTTTGAAGCGTAAGATCTTCGCTTTCTGTGATTGAATATGTGCGAGTTTAGGCTTGTTTGAAAGAGCGCGTCGAAAAGCTTTCCAATGATACCAAACGATATGAATCAGATGACTGGATGGCAATCTATTGAATCTCAAAATCTTTATATATATAATTTATTTGTATTTTTCTGATGTTGATGGATCCGTAATATAAGAAGTGCATTTGCTGTTATTTAACTATATATATTGCAATTAATGCTTTTTTTTTTTTAAGTGAAGAAAATTAATAAAATTTCTCGTTAAAGAAGAAAATTTTAAACATTTTATTGTAAACTTAATTAGATTTATCAACCGAAAATTGTATCTGGTAAAAGTTGCCCCCAAGGTGAAGGTCTTGTAATTTCATTTTTTTTTTTTGCAAGTTTAACCAGAAAAGCCAATATTCATTTAGAATACAATTACTAAATGTCGTGTAATAAAAATGTATGGATTACCAGATGTAAATTTAATGATAAAAATAAACGACTTTGAAGAGTTTGATCTTAAAAAAGATATCAATATTAAAATTTGGTTAACCGATTTGGTAAAAAATTAAAAAAATTTCTATGTTTTGATTGGTCGATTATTAACGCACATTCTATTGGTTTGCATATTTATACGACAAAAAAAAAAAAAAAAAAAGAAAAAATTCCCGACTTTTATATAAAACAAACCAAATATTTAAAATTGCAACTCATCACTGTAACATGCGCCTACCACCCATACAAGAATCGGGAGTGTTCGAAGATGGTTCTCCACTATATCGTCAAAGTAAATATTATAGCGTTGAGAAATTTGATGGTTTCATAAATAAATTTACTAATATAAGTTGCGATACACCCTTAGAAAATTTTCGTGGTCAAGGGTTGAAGGATGAAAGAATTGTAAGAGTGAAACTCATCAACCTAGTTAAAATAATAGAACGTCTAGTTGATGAAATTGTGTTGTCAAAATTGAAAATTGATGATTTAATTCTAGCAGTAAGTATGAAGGTTTTTTTTTGCTTACTTTATATAACTGCACTAACCATGCTAGTCGTACAAATAGACCTAAACGTATTTTCTTCATATTAATAATTATAGAAATTGATTAATTGATCCGATGCCTATGGTTGGCGGATATGCGATTGCCAACCATACAGGAATGGGGCGTTTTCAAAGTAAATAGCG